TGTTGATCAACCACAGGTAGATGGTGTCCTGAGTCTGAGGTTCACACGTTAACACAACAGGGTCCTTGTGCTCCTCGGGGATGGACTTGTTGCTTGTGATGCTGGGTTTGGGTAACTCCGCTGTGCAGATAACAGAGAGAACATTACCCATTGAGTTCTCCAAAGGCTTCTTCAATCAGAATTGGTGCCTCTCAGCTAACTTGAGTTCTTAAAGAAATAAGTCAGTTCTGTGCATCACAAGACAAACAAATGCATGAGGATCTGAGCGCTCAGAGAATGTAAGGCCGTCTGCTCTATGTCTGGGAGAAAAAGCACAGACTTTCTCAGGTGTCAGATAACTATCAGGGTTTGATCATAGAAAGACGCAGGACTGGGAGTCAGAGACCACCCAGTACCTGCCCTGGTTCCTCACTGACCGGCTGACTGCCTGGCTGACCTTGGGTCTCACCTGGAATGTGCAGGTGCTGAGTCCCTTCCAGCTACACAGACCTACATTGCCCGGTTGACATGTGTTTCCACTGAAGCCTCACAGTCCAGGGTTAACCTAGAGATGAGTAATGATGGGCCACTCCATAGTCCTTAAACCCAGAGAGGACTGGGCAGGAGGCCTGGAACTGGGTGTCGGAGCAGAAACAATACACAGGAGACCAAAAGCAAGTCTGGCAGTCAGTTTAGTACCTAGGCTACAGGGCCATGAGGTGTGGCCATCTGCCCAGGAGCTCACTGGTGACTGACATGAGACAGTGACCCCAGAAAGGGCAGAGCAGAGTCCAGGAATGATTTAGAAAAGAGTGAGGGATGGTAGGAGCTTGCTGGCGGTGGCAGCAGAGCCAGGCTCTCTGCCCTTTGTCTGTAATGTCCTTTCTGCCACTGCAGAGGGCAGGGATCCTTCCTCAACACCCAGGCAATAGCATGTACAGAAGGGGGCTTGTGGAAGGTGGGGGAGCATGAACTTGCTGAAGATATGGCCCTCGTGGTCCATTTGTGTTTAGCAGTGATGAGACAGATTCTGTGTTAAATTGTGAAAGAGTATGTGGAAATCACTCATGCCCCGTAGTTCTAAAGCCAGTTTTTGGAGGATTCTCTGTTAGAGAGCATGAAGGTCATCGACCAAGTTCTGCCATCCAATCAGGTCACGTTGTGACCAAAGGATGAAACCACAGTGGGCTTGAAATGAGGGACTCCCTGGGATAGAGAGAAGGTGAGTTCTGCTAAGAGAATAGATGTGACGGGGGGATGGGAGGGGGTGAGTCCAGGTGCCTCTGCTGTATAAAGGGAGGGATGACACCAGATTGGTAAAAAGGACATGTGTCATGTTAGTAAAGTTAGGGAGAAAGTCCCTCCCTATTTCTATGGACAGTTAGACAGATGGGGAGGAGCCCCCACACTGCATGTAGCATGTGTTTTTCCTTGGATTTCTGTCAGGAAACAATTGGAATTTAGTCAAATTCATTCACATTAGGCAGCATAAAGAGAAAGTAGAGTGGCTGGTGGATCTCACAGTCCGAGAGAATCCCAACCTGTGGTCAGGGTGTCTCTATAAGGACACACGTGTGTGAAACAGGCATTGAACCAGTCAGATGGTGCAGGGTCATCAGGCCCATCTTGGGAAGGTCTTGGTAGCCAGTGGAGGAATGGGAGCCTCACACCAGAACAAGTGTGTGAGTCACCAGTCAGGGGTGAAGTGAACCCATGAGCTTTGGGGACTGAGCCCTGTCCTTCTGCCTTTGACTCCCTGGTTGAGTCATATAGAGAGTAGGTCAATGGTTTATATGTCCCTGTCATGTGCCTGTTCTTCTCCTTGGCCTCAGGAGAAGCTCTTTCACCTGTTGACCTGGGAAACTGGCTCATGATGGAGCCAAGGCTGTTGCTCCCACTGTTTTCTGTGTCCTTTTTTATTGTCCAGAAGGGTGGGCCTGGACACAGTTATTATCAGGACAATCTGGGGAGACTGCATGGTTGTGGAAGCAGAGTAGAGCAGGGCAGTGGGTCTGGAGTGAAAGTGGAGGCAGATAAGGGACACGGAAGGAGCAGAGAGAAGCAGAATGTCCTTGGTGAGCAGTGGGGGTCACAGGTGACTTCAAAAGACCCCAGGGACCAAGAGCCAACAGCCGCCCCAGGGCAGGAGCAGTGCAGCCTGGAAAACCTTCCACAGTGGAACAGCACCACAGTCACCAAGGGACCTGGCTCCTGAGGAGGCTTCAGGGACAAATGATCAGAGGGATGGACATGGCTCTCAGCACCTGTAGGGACAGGGAACAGGTGTGGCTAAAACCTTTTAGGACTCTGCATCCAGGTTCCAGTCTCTCTAGCAATTATGCATCATTCATTCATTCATTCATTCATTCTGTCATCATTCACCATCATTCCTTCCCTCCTTCATGAGAGAGCAAGTGAGTGCTGGTCCCTGAGCTGGTAGCAGGTGCAGGGTGGAGAGTGAGAAGCCAAAGTCCTTTCCTTCATAGCTAGTGGGAGTGACTCCAACACAACAGGAAACAAATATGTGGTTTCAAGTCCAGTGCAGGGAGGTGTGGATCAGTAACCTGAGGGGAAGGCCTGGGGATTCCCAGCAGTGACTCTGAATGTTATTGTAGGTAATCTGATTCTAGAGTGAAAATTAATTCTCCATTTGCTTAATCACCAGACCAGAAAATCTACCTTGAGCTGGGGACTGCTAAGAACAAGCACTGAACCAATGGCTGGTCTCAGGGTCCACAGACACCTAAGACCCTCGTGGTGGAGGAGAGGATGGGGCTGTGGCTGTGCAAGGACCTTGCTGTGTCTGTGTGAGCCTGATTCAGTGACTGTATCACACTGTGCCTCCGTTTCCCCTGAATAAAAACAGAACAAATGGTAAATGGACTCTGGATTACCATGTTGTCTGTGAATTGACTTTAAAATATCCCTGAATACTTGACCTCAAGCCCATTATAGAGCAGACACTGACTTAAATGGCCACTGCCATTATTTGTCTCCATGAGAGAGAATTCCTGGCCTGACCCCTGCTGGACAAGGAGCTGTCAGGAGCATCTTCTCTCTGTTCCTTCCTGGAGAACTGACCTCCCTCTGGAGTCTCCTAAGTCCCTCAGAAGAGTCAGCTAATGATACGGGGTATTTTGTTCATCTGTGCTCTCCTGACACAGCCTTAGCTGAAGGACTAGGCGCTGTCCCTGTCCTGATGTGATCTTGCGTTTGAGCCCTGGCTGGTGAGCAGTAGAGCCACTGCTCCCACCCAGCCCTTCCAGGAGGGCTCCCCAGGTTCCCTGGAGTCAGGAGCCCTGGGACAGGGGTCTGGGAGGAGTTCCCAGGCTGAGCTTCTCTGTGAGGATTTCAGGGTCCCCTCAGGACAGGACCCAACCAAGCTCTGCAGTGTCTTTCTCAGTGTAATGGTCATATGGTGGGGCCCAAGGGCTGGACTGAGACTCTGCTGAGTCTCCCTCTGCTGAGTCACTCCCATCAGACTTTTCTCTGTGGAGAATGTCAGCAGGGCTGGGATCTGGGAAGGGAACTCTAATCTTATGAAGTTTGTTTACACTATGTGTGTCCTGCACTAAATGTTCATACCCATCCTGGTACATGATGCAGAGGGGGATCGAGGCAGAGTCCAGGGCTGTCAGTCCTGTGTGTGAAGTAGAGTTCACCCACCCAAACCCAGAGGTCAGAGAGCAATCACTCACGGTATACATGGAGCTGTCCAGTTACTGGTCTGCTCTGAAAATTTTTGTCTATGGCTAGTAGGATATAGTATCCTGTGTCCTTCCGGGTGACGTTCTGAAACAGCAGGGATCCATTGGGATATATTTTTTCTCGATCACTGTATGCAGGTCCGTAGGTAATTTTTTGAGTGTCTATTACATATGATACAATTTTATGGTTGCTGTCCACTATTTCTCCTTTGTACCAGGCATAGCCTCCAAGATTCCCAGGCAGGTTGTGGACACGGAGAAGCACATCCTTCCCTTCGGCAGCATTGGGTGGCACTGATTCAATAGTGAGCTGGGCAGTGGTGGGCAGGCTCCAGAAGGTGAAGAGTGTGGCTAGGAGGGAAGAGAGAAATTGATCAAGATTTGGAGCTATGTATTGGGATGGAGAGATGAAGCTTTGGGTCTTCAGCTGGTCTCTTCATCTTTCAGCCTTGGTCAGAGTATGTGAGTGTGTCTCCTGTGGTCAAAGTCAGCTGTGTGACCACCAATACTTCAGCACCTCTGCCCTTATTTCCTCTGTTTTGAATACTGTTACCCAGGTGTCTGCCCTCAAACTTCCTGTTGACACTCAGGGATGACCTTAGAAGATACCTTTGCTAACCATCTTCTCTAACGACCTCTGTCTTCACTTTCTGGCCTGTCCCTGCTCTGTTCCCTGCATGGCATTGTGGGGACCTGACATCACATCTACATCT